CTTAGGAATATTCTTTGTTAGTCTACTGTAACAAAATGAACCATTTAGAGATCACTTTCTGTTTTCTGGTTGAACAAAAAACAAAGAAAAGGGAGGTACCACTCGTTACCCATCAGAGTTGTAATACACTGTGTTAAGCCTTCACATACACGCATGCAAAAAATTCAGATTTAGTGACTAGGACTTTTTTTTTTTCTTATCTGATCTTTATTTGCGCTTTTGAGGAATTATTTATGGAGTTATTACTTAAGGAATGGAAATTCATTATAACTCTATCTGTCTGTTACCAGTGACTGGTATTTTAAAAATAACAGACTGAAATGTACTGCTTTCAGACAATGAATTAATTATCTCAAGTATTGCTAGTAAATGCAAATAAAATTAGGAGTAAAACAAAGATACTTGCAATAAACTCCCTACTTAATGAAAAACAAGAGTGGAGTAACTTTACTCCATTACAGTGAGAAAGTAAATTGCTATTGTATTGTTAAGAAAGCATTTGTATTTTATGTGAGATTTACTCCAACTGTCTGTATAAACCAGCAAATTTATATAATTATGCACTCATAGTACAGCTCTGGGATGCCCACAGCTCTTGAATCATTGTGGAGCTCATTGACATCAAACAGATAGAGGACTGCACTTGGTCTGTGCTCTCCCTACAGTCATTTGAAAGTAGCAACAGCTTTACCACACTGCTCAACAGAGTATGAAGCAAGATTATATTACATTTCAAGTCAAAATTTACTTATTTTTATTTTAATGATGGATAGATCTTGTACTTTCTGCTTTTTTTGTTCACTAGGGTAAGGCAGATTTGACTCCATTGAAGCCTGTTCAGTCAATCTGGATTTACATTGGTAAATTTCTGAGGAGTTTGTCCCTGAGCAACAATGTTCTTATTTTTGTTTTCCAACACAGCATCAATCATAATACATACAGACGAATGAATTGAAATTGGAAATAAAGACTAATAATTACAAAACATATTATCAGAAAACTCTCAAGTTCCTCTGCATTCAGGAAAGCAGTGCACACTTATTTTCAAAACATGAATAATTAATTCTTGGTTCTTGAGTTTTTCTTTAGAAATAAATAATATGGAATATTATATGTAGGCTTTTCTCAACTAATGCTGTGGGTTTGTTCCTAATGTTAAACTTCAACTAGAAGTGAAAAAAATCTGTATCAAGTCCTGATTTTCCACTCCGTATCCCATTCTGATTATCATTCACTGCCATTATAATGCATGTTAAACCCTGCACAACAGGGAATGTTTACTCTAAATGTAATTCTGTTCCTGCTCTTCTCCCTTGCCATGAAGATTTTTACGAGGCTTTGTAAACCATTTTAACTGTAAAATATAAATTTGGAAGTTAAACTACCTAAAGATGTCTTTGCAACTTTCAGTTATTAAACCAACCTAACCAAATGAAATTGTAGATGGATTAGTGTTTTTGCTTCTTCTGAGAACAAATTAAGTTTTCTTTCCTCTGAAAAATTGTTATTGAAAATGACTAATAAGAAGAGAGCAGAATGAAAGCAAATTTGATTCTAACGTTAGATTGTAACATTCTAACGTTTGATTCCCTAACATTATGTAATTGTTCCTCTAAGCACTTCTGGGTTCAAGAACTGAGAATCCAACTAAAATCTAAATTCTGCTTGTGGTAGTAACGGAAAAAAAAATCACTGATTTTGGAGGGATTATTTGCATAACGGGAAAGGAAGATTTTGGACAACAGAAGATGAAAAAAACTTTCTAAAACACAACAAATTGCTGAGGTGTTTAGAAAACATTACTGCGTAACTGCTTTACAGATTCTCTCTCATCCATATACAAGTAATCCAAAAGAGAATATCACAGGCACTTAACAAAGTCTCGTTTCAGAAATACAATAGTACCAAACAATTTTATTAATATTTCATACAAATTTTGAAGTCAACACTGACTAGTATTTTGATGTTGATGAAGGCAAACAAAATTAATAAACAATAGGTTTCTGTGTTTTACATTGGACTGGATGTCATAACTAACTGTCTTAGTTATAAACTAACTTAAAATAGTAATGATCAAAACAGGGTAAAGCCAATACATTTTATTTTCTTTATTTCAAAATAGAGTGATTATAAATACATTCTTGTTATATTTCCTTCCTAACTCTTTGGATGCAACCGAAAAAAAAAGTCTCACTGTGCTCATTTCATACAATATCAACATACAAATCATGCAAAAGATATTATAGATATTATACCACCATCAAGTTCTGGATGTTTTTTTCTTGATTCTGAAACATTTGTTAACATTATTCACAAGGCCATGCCTTTATAATTTATATCATCGTTATGGCTTTTAAAAAAAAAGCATTTAAAAATATATTTATACTAGATTGCTGCATTATTGTCAATCTGAACACTAAATGCAAAACATAAATAACCTGTTATTGTGTTCTTGCACCGCGGTATTTGCTTTCTGATAAAATTGCACAATTTTTTTTCTTTTTCAAGGAAACGTTTACACTTTATTGATTTCATTTAAAAATGGAAAGTTCTTTATAATACAATGGAGACAACAGATTATGTCAACACCTTCACTGGTTTAGTTTATGTCTATGGGTCTTAACAGCCATTTTACAAGCATGGCCACTCAAACCAATATAATGAACAGACAGACCCGTTAAGCCACACCCAAGAGTCACCTTCTCAGAAAGACTGACCAGAGATTTGAATGGACATCACACTAAAACTGCTGTGCAAACACATACACTGTTTCAAAACATGGAGAAAATAAACTGACACTAAGGTTGCCATTGAAAGTAACAATTTCACAGAAAAATAGTGTTTTGCCAGCTTCTGCATTCTTCACTCACACTATTATGCCTACATATTGCACCATATATTTTAAAACACTTAGGGACAATTTCTACAGGAAGGTCCAGATTGTGCAACCTTTACTGATGCTGGTGAACCTACACTCAACTGGGGTTACCCAGATGAATCACTGGGCTCTATGGATTTATATACAATGGTTCTGAGCTGGCTTGTTTTGAAGTCAATGACAAAACTCTAGCTAAGCCCTACTCTTGGGCAGGGACCTAATTATTACCTCATGAATAGTATCTCTGCACAGGATTTAGGTTGAGGTGAAATGCTTTACTGGAATTGGGGTCTCAGTGATCAGAAAACTCTGACCCAGTGTAAGAGTACAGCATAACAGTTCAGTTCTTTTGATCAGCAAACAGAAGACATCACTCCAAAACCAAAATCAAAAAACAACAACAACAGCAACAAAAAAATTAAAAATTAAAAAAATAAAACATAAAGAACATCCCCAGAAAACCTCACATCATAAAATAAAACAAAAAGCCCTCTTTTTTTTTTAGCTGAGGAACGTATGATCATTTATCACTGTTCTTTTGACTCAGGGCAACAGAAATCATAAGCACATCAGTTTTACCATCACTTAGAAGTATTTCCTTACTTGCTATTTTTAATATTTTTAGCACATTCCTCTCAGGAGGCTCATGCAGGACATGCCAGTGACAACGCACTAGTGTGTCAGATGCCTTCTGCTTTGGCAAGTCCCAGTGAACCTGGAAACATCCTCGAGCAGCACTGTGACAGACCCAGGGACCTGTCATCCTCTGATCATCCTCAGCCTGCTGAAGGAGCCAGCAGAGTCCATGCTCAGTGCATCCTCCTTAATCCACAGACAATAAACTCACACGCTCTCATCCAAACCTTAGCCATGCATTGCATCATTGGTCAACCAGGAATTTTTTATGCCAGAACTGCATGTGTAGGCAGTATCCATGTCCTCAAAATCCCCATGACATTCTGAATTAAGTCAATTATTGCGCATGGATAGATGCAGCTTTTTGAAAGAAACTCAGCCATTCATTTATCTCTCATAATTTTATTATCTGAAATCATGTATATACTTTGCAGTAAGGAGAAAAATAATAAAAACACCCTCTTTCTAAGCCAAAAGAGCATAAACAAATGTCTGAAAGAAATGTTTTGTTTGCTTGCTTGCTCTTATAAAAAGAAGCAGAGCTTTTTTTCCTTTTTTTTTGCCTTTTGTGGTTTTTTTGGTCTATTTTGATAAAAATATACTGCAGTCTATTTGCCAAGTATCATTCCAGAATAAAAATTTCAACTCAGTGTCATAAAGCCTTGAAATTAGAGGTTTATATTGGAGATAGCTGACACAGCCTTCTCCACAGTATTATTATTGAGTCTTGCTCTAATTTTTGCTAGCTTCAAATTCATGAAAAGCATTCATGTTTATATCCTACTATCTTAATTGACTGATGTATTGATTATAAAAGGTAGGGAGGGGTAAAGGTTCTGAAAGCAAAGGAGATAAGAGGGCCTTATTCAAAGCTCATCAAGTCAAAGAAATTTTGTTAATCTCATCGCATAGATTTGCTGAAGGATGCTTTACCAATATATGTCCATTCTCATGTCAAAGTACCATCTATCAGTGAGATACAATGGGGATTTTCCATTCTCCTACCTTTTTTCCTGGCTATTCAGATTCAGCTTTCACAAATGCAAGCTTTTACTCTCGAGTTATGAGCTACAGAGTCCTCTGAACTGAGACCACTGTGGTTTTAGACAGGTTTTGCCATATTGTTCACTGTTCTGATCAGGTTTTGCTGACTAACAGCAGCAGAGAGATAAGAACAGAAAACTTCTGCATGTACAATAAAAATATTTCCCTTAGCATGAATTCCTGTAAATACTTGTGAGAAGTATTCAGATTAAGCTGTAGAGACCTGAAAAGCAAGAAAACTGATGGCAAATAACCGCCTGGGACACAATACTAAAAAACTAATCTATTTTAAAATGCACCATTGGTAACAAATCTGAAATAATATACTAATCTCACAAGAATAGTACAGAACAATTTTATAATTATTATTATAATTATTATTATTATTATTATTATATCTGATCACTTAATTCTGGATGATGCTATACATTACATCCCTGGTTGCTGTTTGGTATATTGTTCTGGTTTTATTTATACTGAATGATTAATGCATTGTGATCAGGAAAACAAGTCAGGCATATTAAATACATATTAAGGAGTACATATTTCTTCCTATGTAGTATACAAAGTATTTCATAAATATGAATTATATTACAAAAATAATTTCTGCTACGCTCACACAGTAAGCACTTTGACAATTTTGGACAACCTGTTGGGGTTGCAAGAGTTTCACGTAACGGAGAAGGAACTCTAGATTTAATTGGAGATGATTCTTAGAACAGATTCTGCATAAATATCGAATATTTTCTTCAGATGTCACGAATACTGCAGAAGTCAGGTTGACCTATTTTCCTTCATTCCTTTTTTTTTTAATTTTTTGTATAGACATGTATGCTTCAAGTGGTCAGATTTATTTCATAGGTATGTAATGCATGGTATATTTTAAACAAATATTTGCACAATTTAACATTATAATTCCAGTGGTTTCAAGATGCAGCCCATAAATGTAACCAATTTACACATACTATTGAATGTTCTCTCTTTGCATGCTTGTTACTTTCCAGATAAGCTTTAAACAGTGCCATTAGAACACCACAAATCAAAGGATAACTCCAGTTCCACCAACTTAAATCCGCGTGCAGGATGAAGGACCCAGCTGAAGTACAAACATCAGTACCAGGTTTCTTGTGTTCTAACAAATCACAAGGAGACGATGGTTTGCATTTAAGATACAAAACATATATGCCTCTTGAGGTTAAATTCAGTGTAACGTGTATAAAGCATCCCTTTGGCAATAGAGTTTGCAGTATCCCTATAGGATTCCACAGGGCATGAGCTTTATGGAGTAAAATCTATTAAGGAAATTCTCCTCTACTTGACAAATCATACATAGCTACAGTTAATCACACACCCTTGGATACACCTGCCTCTATGCCTATCAATATAATATAGTATTTGGAAGTTAAAAGTCAACAAAAGGCACTTTCATCATTAAATTAATGTCCTCTGTAGGCAATAAGATTGTATGACCTATATTTTATTCAAAGCGGTTTGTTCTTCAAGGACTTGTAGATAGTCAGGTGAACCTTGAAGTTTAGCTTTTAGTTCAAAATATTCACTCTTTCTTTGTTCTACTACAATTTTACTATGATTACCACCTATTAGAGATTTCTTGGTTTTTTTGTCTTGCAGTTTCTCTGGGTAACGTATTTCAAAGCCACTGACCCCTATGCTGTTGTATTCTTTTTTACTTTCTAGAAAATTTTGAATAAATACATTGGAGTCCCTTCCAGGGAATAACTCATCCAGTTCATCGATTGTGCTAAGTCTTTTTCTTGTATCCACATGCAATAAATCTTTCTCCTTGTCATTCATATTTCTCAGAATGACTTTTTGCCCTGGCGGGTCAGCAAACGTGAAGCCTGTTTCAGACTCTTTCAAGCCACAGGTGTGACTTTTGCTCATCTGCTCAATGGTTTGAGGGATGAAGGCCTCTGCACCCAGTCCATCTTTTTTGTTTGACTTGTGATCATGCTTTCTTAGCTGCAGTTGCATAGAACTGCACTCTTGGTTTCCAATCCCTTCATGCTTTATGGTTGGTTTTTTGTTGCGCCGAAGCACAAAAACAAGAAGACAAAAAGCAACAAACACTGTTAAAATCAGCACAACCAATATGCTTAGGATTAGGATGGACAATGGAACTGGGCCACCAGGAGGACTCCGGACTGGTCCTGGTGGTGTTGTAAAAATAACAGCAGGCATGGGACTAGTAAATAGAGCAGATGGCTTGTTTAAAAGTTTAGGACAGAGAATCTCATTTTTCAGAGACTTAAGTTCTATGTTAGCAAACTGAACAGGTGTTTCACATTTCAATTCCTTCACCACAATACCGTCATTTAGCTTTTCAAGCCACAGTTTTAAAGCGACTAAATCACAAGTGCAGTCCCATGGATTACCTTCCAAATCTATTTGTGTAAGAGATTTTAGCTGATCAAGAACACCACTTACAGGTAAATACATGAAGTGATTGTTCCTCAGATTCAGTCTAGCAAGTGGTGCACCAGCGAAAATGTATGCTGGCAAGCTTCGCAGAAGATTGTTGTTTAGGTAGAGCAACTGCAAATTTGGCATTAAGTCAAAGGTGCCTGCTAGAATTTCTTTGATAACATTGTATTCCAAATACAGATATTGCAAATTGTGGAGGCCAGCAAACATTTCTGGGCTCAGACGCTCTATCTGATTGCCATTGAGATACAATCTCCGTAAATTTGTAAGGTTGCGGAAAACATCTCCTTTGATCACTGAAATCCGATTGCTGCCTAAATGTAGCAAATCCAGCCCCTCAAACTCAGCGAAATCTGTAGTATCCACATCCTTTATATAATTGCCATTTACATGCAGTTTCTTGGCATTTAAAGGTTTTGGTACAAGTTCAGCCATCGATTCTATATTTCTTTCTTGGCAATTTACACTTAATCCCAAGTCCGAAGGATGAGTTTTGCAAACACAAGGGACCGGACAAGGAGTTAAAGGAGGCACCCTGGTCTGGTAAGATACGATCTGACTGAGATTGCGATTGGACAGTGCTTTGCCTGCTACTATCCCCGAGATCTTCGAGGGATTTGTAGTCTTTGGCGGCTTTGTGACTAATCTGTGCACTGAAGTTTGAGTGGTGTGGCCATTGGGCGTGCTGTAACCGGGCTCCAGCTGTGAGGGAGGCAGGATGCGCACGTCAAAATCACTCCCTGTCCCCATGGAGCACAGCTCCTGCTTATTGGTTTCTTTCAGCAGCCTTCCATACAAATCACTGGGCGTTTCACAGATAGCCTCTCCAATGTAGATGTTATAGGGCATGTTCTCCAGCCACGCTTTCAAAGGCAACAAATCACAAGTACAATTCCAGGGGTTGTCTTCCAGCTGCAATTCAACAATTCGCCCGATGTGTTCCAGAACTCCAATGTACGGAAGCTTCTGTATTCGATTCCCCCTTATATCCAGATGGGTTAAAGAAGCAAATCGAAAAATATTATCGGGAAGGAATGAAATCAGATTGTCATTAAGTATCAGGACTTTCAGCTTGTGAAGCTTATTGAAGGCTCCCCGTTCAATAAACTTGATTAAATTGTAGTCAGCTTGGAGATACTCCAAGTTCTCTATGCCAAGGAAAGTGTCAGCCCGGAGAATTTTTAATTCATTGTTGTTCAGGTGCAACTGTTTTAATGCACTAAGACCCATAAAGGCCCCTCCCTCAATGTTCTGTAACTTATTATTACCCAGTTGCAAGGACACTGCATGTGTAAAATTAAGAAAGGAATTTGGATATAGAATAATTAGAAGGTTGTTTTGAAAGTTGAGGTGATAAAAATTAGACCATGGTGGTTTAAGCTGATTTGGTCTGTAGACTGCAACCTTCTCACAGTTGACATAGAGTACATTCTCAACTGACACACAGGAGCAAACATTGCAAATTTCCACAGATATATCAGCATCTGCAGTTGTAGAAGATACTGGAGATGACAGAACCAGAAAGAGCCACAGAATCATCTTCTTATGATCAGCAAGCAACCTTAGGCTCCTGAACAAAGATAAAGAATCTATAGAAGAAAGAAGGAAAGAAAAAGAAAACGTTTTTCAGTTGACATTGTTCCAAAACGTCATTTGGATTAGAAATTGTATACCACTGAGCTACTGTACCTGCCAAGGATTATAGATAAACTACAAGAACTGAATTTAAAATAGCATGAAAGACTTTAACAACCAAACAAATGCACAGGAGCTGGGATGATTTCAAACAGAGAATGTAAATTTCTGTAGACAAACACAAATAACTCTCAGGTCTGTCAAATGTTTTTCTCTCTCTTGTACATGCCAAGCATGCATAACTAACAAAGTAAAATAACCAAAGGAGATTCCAATTTTATGCATATTTACTCCCCTCAATTGTGCACTGCTCATATGTTGCTGTGCATTTCAGGGATATTAAACACAAATGCTGATGTTATGCATGCCCAAACATCTGATACGGGATAGCAGAATATAGAAAGGATGGAGATGCTGACACAAAAAGCAATGCCAATGCTCAGTGTATGTATCTAAAGCAGCAACACGTACAGATATATCACTATGATAAAGATATTCACTCAAGGGCTACATAGGCATGCACACACATTGTTTCTGTCACTTCTGATACCTAGTTTAAATAAGTAGGTGGTAAACTACTGCAGAAATACAACTATCCACCAAACAAGATCAGCTCTGGGTGATCAATGGAAGCACAAAGACATGGAAGAAACATGCACAAGCATACAGCCCCATCCCCTGGAATAACAATACACTGACTTGCAGAGCAAAACAAAGTCACAATTTGCCACCCTGACACTATTGAAATCTGAGAATTATTTTTCCCCCTAAAATATTATGTAATTTGATCTTATTCCTACATTGATAAGAACCCTCTGCATATAGTCAGGTCAGCTGAGCTGACATTTTTTACGCAGAAGAACTCGAGCCACAGCATTTCCTCTGAGTTATAAGGTAGTGGGTTTTTTCCTTTTTTTTAACAAATCAGGCAATAATCAATACATTGCGCACACACACACACACACACACACACACACATATTCCATCTTCCCATTACCCCCATTTCCCAATTTGTCCCTTTCATTTCCTGCTGTGGGAAGCCACTGAGTTGGCAGGAGGGAGCCAGAATGAAAAGTGGAGAAAGCAGGAGCCAGCTGGAGGGAGGAGAACCGGGCTGGAGGGAGACACAAGGGGACGATGTGCCGGGGGACCTGGAGGGAGGGGAGAGGAGGGATGAGGAAAGACCGCAAGACCGAAGGACTAGAGGGAGAGGGAAATCACAGAGGAGACAAGGAAGGATGAGAGGAAGGGATGGCCGAAGGGGTCAAGGAGGCCGCTTATCGGGAGAAGGGGGAAGCGGAGCAGCGGCTGCCGATGCCCGCAGGCTCCCGACCCCGGCCGCGGCGAGCGCACCCCCGGGGGCGGACCGGTGCCCCCGCGCCCCCGCCGCTCCATCTCCCTCCCCCCGGCAGGCAGTTCTCCCGTGTCCCTGCCTCGCCCACGCTCGAGTCCCCTCTTCTTCCTCAGCTCCGGGGCCCCGGCCGGTGCCGAGCGGGCAGGCTGCGGGCGCTGCGCGGGACTGGCGGCGGGGCGGCGAGCCCCACCAGCAGTGCCGGCACTACCACAATTTTTTGCCGCATCCGGACCGGCTGGTGCCGGCTCCCCTCCGCCGTGGGCGCCCCGTCACCCTCTGGCTCCCGGCGGGGAAGGGCGGCAGGGGCACGGGAGCGCTCGCAGGGCGCGCACATCCCGGCCGGGAGCGGACACAGCGCGGCGGAGAAGCCCCGCATCCCCTTCGCAACAAGGCACGACCGTGCTGCCCGCCGTTGAACGCACCAACCCCCCCGCCCCGGTACCTTTGCAAAGTCCAGCCCGCAGCAGATCCACACACCCCCATCCCCACTGCGCAGATCCTGCCCCCCCGTCCCTCCCACACCTCCACCGGCTTCTCCGGGCCGCCTGGCCCCGGTCCCTCCGCTCGCCCGCTCTTCTGGGAAGGATAGGAGAGGGCAGCGCTGCGCCTGGTGCCGCTGGCCAGGGCTCCGGGAGGTGGCCGGCTGCGGGGAGAGGCGAGCGCGATGGCAGAGAGGCTCCGGCAGGAAGCCACTGTCGCCTCGTCGTGTGCACCCCCGCCCCCCCAACCCACCCCTCGCCGTCTTTAAAACAGCACCGGCAATTATTATAGCAATGAAAGCAAAACATTCGGAATAATTAAAAGAAATTAAAATGCCAACGTAGAGGCGGCCCCCGCCCGCACTCACACGCCCGGCGGGCGCCCGCCGCCCTCGGTGATGCTCCCGGCGGCTCCGCGGCCAGCCTAGCACCGTCCCTACCTCGGCGCCCGGGGTGGCCGCAGCTCCGCTCGGCTGCGCTCCGCCGCGCTCGCCGCGAGGTCGGGGCTCCGGCGGCTCCGCGCACGCAGCGGGCGGCGGGGCCAGCCGGGCGCCCTCCGGGGGCGAGCACCCCCGGCCGCGCGGAGCGAGGCCAAGCCCGGCGCTGCGGAACCCCGCGGGCTCCGCCGCATGCAGCAGCCGCCCGGCTGAGCCCTGCCCCGCCGCCGCGGTCCCCCGCACACATGCGGGGAGAGGATCCCTCTGCACACGGGCACCCGCTCCCATCGCACTGCTCTCGCCCACCCCCTGCACGCAGAGAGCCCCCTCCCCTCCGCCACACGCACACCGCTCACACGCACACACACAGACGCTCGCACGCACCGAGCGCCCGGGCGCTGCTCCGGCGGGGAGGGAGACGCCACTCCGGGGGAGCAATCCCGGCGCATCGCCACGGCCGGAGCCTCTCCCGCAGCCCGGAGCCGCCGGTGCTTTTCCCCGGGAGCCGCGGCGCTGCGCCCCCGCGGAGCCCAGGCGGGGCGTGCGGGGCGGGAGGAGCCCCCCGGGGCGGCGGCAGCAGCGGGTCCGCGCCGGGAGCCGCGGGGCTGCCATGGGCGGGCGAGGCAGCCACAAGTGCAGCCCGCGGCCGGGACGGGACCGGCGCGGCTCCCGCGCCCGAGGAGCCGCAGGGCAGCGCGGCTGCGAGAAGCTAGCGGGGGAAGGAGAGAGAAGGCAAGAAAGGACTCCCCCCTCTCTTTTCTGGTGATCTCCCCTCCCGGCTTGAAACAGAAGTAGAGGTGGAAACTGAGTGGGCAGGATGGTAACATTTGCTGCATTTAATGTGAATTGCAATTATGGAGCGAAATCGCTGCGAGGAGACATACCCGACCCGTTCTTAGGATAACGCAGCTATTTGTCTAGCTCATTCTTTGTGGTTAGGTGAAATTTCTTTCTCTGCTTAGGTAACAGCTGCAATCTGATGGAAGTAAAATCGCAAATGTTATGCACTGGTGCTAAACAGATTCTGCTAATTAACAACTCCTATTGACTCTACCTTTCATAATACACTTTAAAATGGTAACGAATACCCTCAAACGAGGGGACATCTCATTCCAAAGCAGAAGAGTCAGTTAACCAAATGAAATCTTGCAAGGGGAGTTCAACTGCTTGTCCTTTACCATGAATGCTAACGTGCTCTAGCTAGAAAACTGTTTATGTGCAGTACACATACCGGTTGTGAGTGCTAGTTCTGGGCAATAAACGCCAGGGAATGGAAAACAGCAACTGCTTTCTTCATTTACTGAAATGAAATAAATAGCTTGCTCCAAAGGCTGACTGCATCTAATTGAAATAATTGCAGAATGTTATTTTGCATTATGCGGTTAGATACCTGAAAACAAATGCAGCTGAGACATCAATGATTTGCATATCACAACAGAACTGAAAGTGATCTGTGATTAATATTCAGCCAATTAAAACCTGAAGTCTTTAAAATGTAAACTCTTAATTACTGAGCCATTAACAAAGTACTGTTCACATAAAAGGGGATGTGTATACATAAAGGGCCCAGTTTAGAGGGATTTGCATATAGTTTAAGCTGAATTTTTCAAACACTATTTAAATAAACTAATAAATTAGAGAGCAAAGGTCTAGAATAAAATTCATTTAGGAAGATAGCTGGTTTATAACTATTTTAGCAGCAGGCACAGAAATGCTGGTGTTAAGATCAAGATGCCCATTTTGTTTAATCAGCAACCTTATCTGGATGTTAAACTAATTCCTTGCTTATTTAGCTGGTGAAAGAGCATATTGGCAGTCTCAAAGAGATCATTACTCCCACCCCATTCAAACAACTACATGGAGACTGAATTAAACATTAAACAAGAAGCATAACAAAATATTGTATTTTAACCAAGTAAACTGTGAAATGAGTAAGTACTCGAGAATTGAAATTACATTCTAAGTAAATAATTCTTGATGTTTGTATTATAAGTGGCTATTTCCAATGACATGTTTATGGTGTTGTAGAACATATCTGAGAAGGAAACTTAGTTATGCCACACAATTTCATTATTAGGGTTTCAGTATATAATATATCTATATTTCTAATTTACAGTCATTAAAAATAACTTCTCCTCCAAATCTTAAGTGATTTCTTAGCTACTTGCCCTAGCCTGCATCATGTCAAACTCACTAATATATAGGCTTACGTGTCAGGACCACAGTCAAAAGCAAATTGAGGGGAATTTTAAAGTGTATCATAGGCACAAGCTAAGGTCAAGACTGGGATCCAAGATGATGATGTGCTTCAGGAATAAAACACTTTGAAGGATTACATCCTAGATTCACTTGGTTGGCATCCATTTTCTGAGACCCAGCATGAGGTTCTATCACTTTCAGGAGAAATTTTCTGTATAGGTAGATAGTAATTGGAAGACAGCAGAGCCAGACAGGGCAAGTTGGAGTACCTGGTCTGATTCCCTGAAGTTTACAAGATTACTTCAGGCTACACACCATGCCCATTTAATGTCATCTCTAACCTTTTCTTAAATTTCCTACTATGATGGAACCTGATTCATCTCCTTTGATTTTTTCCCTGTCTGTCATTTTCCACAGAAGTGTGTATTTTTGACTTCTTTAGCTTAGCAAAAGAAGAGCAAATGCTAACAGGCAGACAGATTCATAACAGGATTTTCTGCAGAG